ATGCATTAGCAGAACACTGTAACTATGGAGCACTACATGACGAGCTCATCAGAGACAGGATTGTAGTAGGCTTGGTCGATACACGGCTATCAGAACGCATGCAAATGGAAAAAGACCTAGACCTGGATAAAGCTATTAATATGGCAAGACAATCAGAGGAGATTAAAAAACAGCAAACAACATTGAGAAGTGATGCTAGTGCTGTAAACCTAAAGGATGTGAACTCTTTGGACAGACTGTTTAAAGGCAGGCATCAGAAAGAAAAGCAAAAATTCAGCAGATCAAAGAATGATGGAGCAAAGCCTCAAAGCAGGTAGAACAAAAACACTAAAGACCCCCAGTGTCACAAATGCGATGGCATGCTTCACCCTAGACAGGAATGTCCTGCTAAGGATGCTAAATGCCATACATGTGGGAAAAAGGGTCACTATCAACGTGTATGTTTTGCAAGCAAGGCTGTGCATGGCATTGAGGAAGAGGAGAGAAGCTTCTTTCTCGGCTCTGTGACATCACATGCTGATCCATGGACTGTGGAAATCAGAATGATGGATAAAGACATCACGTTCAAGTTGGATACTGGAGCAGATGTCACTGTTGTTTCACAGAAGAATTTCGCCAACATTTTTCACAACACACAGATGCTGGTGCTGCAAAAAGCAGAGAGACCTCTACTGGGTCCAGGGAGAATTCCACTGGAAGTGATGGGGTTTGCCAAACTACAGCTAAAGAAAGGAGCAAAACAAATTACAGAGGTGTATGTGGTCAAAAACCTGAGTATGCCTTTGCTAGGACTGCCAGCTATTGTAGCTCTTGATCTGTTGTTTCGTGTGGACACTATTGACATGGAAAACCTGAAGTCAAGCTACCCTAAGTTATGCAGCAGCCTAGGGGAGGTTCGACAACCTTATTGTATTAAGCTCAAACCCGATGCTGTGCCTTTCTCTTTGAAAACCCCAAGGAGGATTCCCCTACCATTGATGGGGAAAGTCAAAGATGAGCTTCAATGCATGGAAAACTTGGGAGTAATCACTCGTGTGGAAGAGCCTACGGACTGGTGTGCAGGCATGGTAGTAGTGCCCAAGAAGGACAGCAAAAAGGTGCGTTTGTGTGTGGACCTGACTGGCTTGAACAAGTATGTGTGTCGTGAAAAATTCATTTTACCATCAGTAGAACAGAGTCTTGGAACACTGGTTGGTGCTAAAATGTTCAGTAAATTAGATGCCAACATGGGGTTTTGGCAGATACCCCTCACCGAGGATTCAGGATATTCAAGTATACCACATTCATTACACGCCTTTGGGTGGTTCCATTTTAACCATCTTCCATTTGGCATTGCCTCAGCGCCCGAACATTTTCAATGTATGATGGTGGAAGTTACACAGGGGCTGGAAGGTACAGTTTGCCACATTGATGATCTACTGGTGTGGGGACGGGACCAAGGAGAACATGACAATCGACTCCATGCAGTGCTAAAAAAACTGGAAAAGGCGGAAATCACTCTGAACGTGGATAAGTGTGAACTCTCCAGGAGTGAGGTGGTCTTTTTGGGTCACATCATCTCTGATGCAGGGATATGACCTGACCCAAGGAAAACAAAGGCTATCAGAGCTATTAAGGAGCCCTCTAGTGTGAATGAACTGAGGAGTTTTCTTGGCATGGTAAACCAGCTGGGGAAGTTCATCCCTCAGTTGGCAGAAAAAGACAAGCCACTTCGTGATCTCCTTTCTAAGAAAAACTGTTCGGTTTGGGATGTGGAACAGGTCAGGGCATTTAAGACATTGAAGGATGCTTTGTCTTCCCCTCCAGTGCTGGCCATGTATGATCCGAACAAAGTGACGAAAGTGTCAGCGGATGCATCGTCATATGGCTTGGGTGCCTTTCTTCTTCAAGAGTGGGGAGATAAATGGAAGCCTGTGGCTTACGCGTCATGTTCACTCACTCCAACTGAACAATACTATGCACAGGTGGAAAAAGAAGGCCTGGCTCTAACCTGGGCATGTGAAAGATTTCGGGATTTCCTCCTAGGAAAGCATTTCTGCCTGGAGACTGACCACAAACCACTTGTCAGTTTGTTTGGAGACCAAGCACTAGATCTTCTACCCTTGAGAATTCAGCGATTCAGGATGAGGCTCATGCGTTACTCTTACTACATTGTGCATGTGCCCAGAAAGTCACTTTGGACAGCAGACACATTGTCACATTCGCCTATGGACTCTCACATGTCCAAAGCAGAACTGGAGCTGATGAAAAGCACTAACATATATGTGGACTGTGTCGTAGACACCCTGCCTGTTAGCCACACATATATGGAAATCATAAAAGAGCAGTTGCAAGCTGATAGTATTTGCTCTCGAGTCATGAAATTGTGTGCAGATGGATGGCCAGTGCATGCAAAACAGGGACCTGCACTGAGAGGATACTGGCCAGAATGAGCTACACTCACTGTACAAGATGGATTACTACTGAAAGACACTAGGCTTGTGATCCCATCCACTCTGAGGAATGAGGAATGAAGGACACCAAGGGGTGGTGAAATGCAAAGAATGTGCTCATCAGTCTGTGTGGTGGCCAGGACTCAGTCAGCAGGTCAGCAAAATGGTGCTCAAATGTAGGACATGTATTCAAGAGCATCAGAATTCTAAAGAGCCACTCATGACATCTGAGTGCCCTGAAAGACCATGGCAAAAGTTAGGGACTGACATGTTTGTACCTGGAAGGAAAACATACTTAGTTGTGATAGACTATTTCTCCAGATATGTTGAGATTGCACTGCTATTGAACACTAAGTCAACTGATATCATTGTCCATCTGAAGTCAATCTTTGCCTGGCATGGGATTCCAGAGGAGTTGATGTCAGACAATGGACCACAGTTTTCTGGCCAAGATTTCTCTCATTTTGCATCCACATATGGGTTCAAACATGTTACCAGCAGTCCAAGTTTCCACAAAGTGACGGAGAAACTGAATGTGCAGTTCAGACAGTGAAAAGTCCCTTGAAAAAGGCTAGCAACCCTTATCTGGCCCTGCTTGCCTACAGAGCTACCCCTCTCCTGAGTGGGTTCAGTCCGGCTCAGCTGCTTATGGGGTGACATCTTCGTACCACTGTGCCGACTCTTCCCTTTCAGCTAAACCCAGCATTGCCAGATGTTGACTATTTTGCTTGTAAAGAGAGAGAGAAGAGGAAATTGAATACTGAATACTACAACAGGAGACATCGTGCAAAAACTCTTAGTGATTTGATACCAGGAGAGCATGTATGGGTCACTGATACAAAAGAATCTGAGACTGTGCTGCAGAATCACACGAGTCCAAGGTCATATCTGGTGGATGTACCTAAAGGTGTGGTGAGATGCAATCGTCAGCACTTGATACCCTTACACACACATGCAAGTGAAGGAGGAGTGGTGGAGCAGCAGGAGTTGCCAGAGACAAACAGTGAACAAGTTTCTACATCACCTGGGAAAATACTTAAAAACTTTCCTAGTGTGACAGCTACCCCAAGGACAAGGTCTGGGAGAGCTATAGTTAAACTAGAGAGACTGAATCTGTGAACTGAGAAAGTGAAAAAGAGTTAATGTTGATGTGTAGTTCAGTAAGAAATTTGAGGTGCAGAATAGTTTAAACACAGTTAGGTGTATTGGATTAGTAAATAGTTATATGATAACGTTTTCTTCCCTACAGGATTTAGATAGGAACAGACCTTCAACAAAAGAGGCAGAATAATCCTCTAAGGTCTGGTGAGACAAAGGTAGTCTACCCTTTGTTCTCTAGAAAAGGGAGATGTGGTGTTGATGTTTAACTGTGAAGAGGAACCAATGTTAGACAGAGAGTAGTGAGGGACATATTTTGAGGTGACACAGTATGAAGGAACCGGAAGGGAGGAGTTAAGAAAAATAAAGCAGTTTGTGTGCAGAGAACTCACATGTTAGGAGTATTATTACAAAATACGACATCCAGAAGAAGTAAAAAGACATTAATTCTACAATGTGTATCAAAAGTCTACAAAGTGCTCTGAAGCCAATTGATTTGATTTGTCACTTCAAAGTTGCTTAGAATTACAAATTTACTTCAACAGGGTGATTTGATCCTGTTTTAAAGCTTTGTACAACCCTATTTACCAGACATAGGCATGAAGAGAGTAGGAGACAGTGAATGATAATAAATACTTTCTCCTACCACTTCTCATTTTGAGTTATGCAGGTAACCCTTTGAACTGTTGTGCAGTACATCTGTGGACATGGAGATGTTTGCAATCCCAATCTGAAAGGGTAGAATTTAGCACAACAGGGGCACTGAAAGTCCATTGTTATAAAAGCTGTGGGTATTATTCTGTGATTCTATTCACAGTTTTCAATCATTTTGGTGGCACCTGTCTTCAAAGCCAGTGGGAGCATCATAGCACAGTGCTCTGTAGTGGCTTCTTTCAGCAGCCACAGCTTCTAGTTCCCTTGACTGAATGTCACAGTAGTATAGGGTGTGGGTGTGTGGGTGTGTGGGTGTGTTTGTTTATGGGTGTGTATTCATGAACAAATGCTTCCCAGGCCCTTATCTTGGCACTATAATGGAATTCAAGAAATGGTTGGAGGATTTTTCTCTTCCATGAGCCTAGAATCTCACCCTATTAGTACCAAATGCCTCCTGGCTTTTAATCCTGTGTTACGGAAGCTCTGCAGCTTTCTAGTTGCTTCCTGGCATTCAATAATATCACTCTTTTTGTCTAGAAATTCTGAAAATTTAGTATTTACCACAATGAAGCCTGTATCATCTGCTTGCTTTAGAATGCGTCCCTTTTTGGAGCAGCTGGGGCTTATCACTATGTGAAGTACTCAGATACATCTTTTAGTGCGTTTCTGGAATTCGGGATACCTTGGAAACTCCTGGCAAAAAAAAAGAACAGAATCCAAGTGATAAAACAGCCATTGCTTTGAAAGTTTTCCAAATACTACACTAGCATGTTCCTGCAGTTTTTTCAGCTTGTACTTCTAATCTTTCTCCTTTAGGATCAAAGTACACAGCTGGCCAAAACAGGGACTCTATCACGGCGATCAATCAAGTCCTCGGCTGGGCTATCACCTGGAACCCTTGGGTAAGAATGGATCAGCTAATAGCAGGAGCAAGCGAAGGAACCACCACTGAGTTAAGGCTGCTACGGCCATCTACTACTTGTGCAGGATAATCATCTAATCAATGATATTTTATTGTTGACAATTTATTTTATTTATTGATCAAATTTGTCTAGTAGCCCATCTCACCAAAAGCAGCTCTGGACAGTGTATAGCAAATGGATAAACCAACAAATATAAAAAAGTTAAGAAAAATAAATATTATAAAAACAAATATATAAACTCTACACAAAGAAGATAAGAATAGCTACCTTAACAATGAAGGTACCTAACCCTGTTTTATGTGAAAACAATATATCTGATTTAATGGCAAAACAGTCAAGGGGACTTTGAAGTAAGCAGCCCTGCAGTGGATCCCAGCGACATCTGCAAAAGAGAGGTGAAGCTCAGCAGGATGATGCAAATCCCTCCCCCTTTGAGCAAGTGGATCACAAGAGGCGGGGCTTGCATCATGCTGCTCCATCCGTCACCAAGCCAATTTTCAACCCTTGCCTGAAGATGTCTGTTGCAGATAAACATCTTGATAGCCTTCTTTATGAGGAGTAGCCATTTTGCTAATAATTCCTTCCAAATTATTATATAAATGAGAACACGTAGAACTATAATGTAATTGTATGCCTTATCATCCCACAATGAACAACTATACTATGGGTCAGTCAAGAATGTTTCTTAAAAGACTGGGCTGCATTGGTGTCCCCACCAGTTCAAAGGACATACTGGTATATATTATTTCATTAGAATTATATAATTTAATCTATAATTCAGATTAATCACTTAAATTAGTTTGACAATTAATTATATACTGTTTTTAAAAATAATTTAAATTACATTTAATAGGCATCCACAGACCAAATGACGCTTTGCATAAAAAGATGAGTTGCTTTAGTCAGAAGTAGAATAACATTCTTTAGGATGTTGTTGCTTGTCCAAAATAATATGGTTAGAAATACTGACATTATATTCTCTCTTATCAGACCCTTTCTAAGTAGTTAGAATCTTAGGCATTGGAATGGATGGGTATGATATTCTTCTATTATTTACTCAAAGGACCAATTATTTGTACAAAATTAAAACTTCCATGGAAACACCGGTTGTGTGTGGAATGGTGGGCTCTGGCCTGTGAAAACAGATTTGATAATAAAATGATCTACAGGACATCACCTGAGTCGTTGCTGTTTATTCTGAACATGGAATGAATTGATGTGGTTGGCTGTGGGTATTAAATGACTCATCTGTTTCCGTTATATAAACCACTCGGTCAAAATGCAAGAATTTCTCAGGTCTCTGGGTTCAGGCGGACAAGGTGGTGTTTTTTGTTGCTGTTATTATTATTATTATTATTTTGCAAATGAGGATTTTAGGGGAAGAGATGCTTTATAAAGTGGCCTCCAAGAGTCACATGGGATGTGATGATCTAAAGAAATTAAGATGAAAATGCTTTTGGGGGATGGGATGTGGGCAATTAGGGTGTTAATATATGAATAACTTTTAAAATTTTCTTTAAAAACAACATTTGAAAGCAATTCTTAAAGGAAAGTTGTATTGTTGCAGGTGTGAGAAATCCAGATACGACTTCTTTTCAATTTTATTTTAGAAGGAGCCAGAAGGTCCTAGAAGCAATTCCACCACCACTTATCCCCGAAGGCCAACTCTCATCAGCTTCATCTTTGTCATCCATAAGGTACCTTTAAGAGACCCTCTCTTCTTCCCAGCAAAGAGTGGAGATGTAAAGAACAACCTTGTGGGAAAAGCAATTACTATTACAAGTGATTAAACATCAGTGAAAAGCAAGATTTTATCATCCAGGAACATTAAAGACAAATTGTAGCATCAAACATCTTTTGTTATTTCACACTAAAATTACAAAGAATTGTTCTAAAGCATATGGCACCACACATGACGATCATTGTCATGTCATTATTTTGGATTTCTTCCCAAATTCCCTATTATGGTGCTAGATAATAGTTATTGCATAGCACTTTAAACTATATCTTTATTACAATTTAGAGGTGTTCTTCAGTAACTATTACCTCTTCCTTTATTAGGATAGACAAATCTATTTACTTTGATTGTAGACATTGTTCTTAAATGCTTCCCTTTATGTAAGAAATAGGAAAAAACCAGTGTCACTAAGCAAGAAAATGAGATAATGTGCTAGCTCAGACTGTTTCCTGTATGGTGTTTTTCTACATACAGAGATGGACAAAATATGTCCCTCTAGATGTTGTTGGGCTCCAGTTCTCATCAGCTGTGATAGTGAGCCAGTGATGATGGATGATGGGAACTGAAGCTATCCCATTCCAGAATTATAAGTCTATTATTATTTTAGCACAAGGGTCATGGCTACTTTCCTTCCTTTTCCACTGCCTTTTTCAACAAACGTTCCTCTGAAACCTGTCCTTGTCTAAATGTCATAGTAACCTCACAGGAGCTTTGAACAGCACAAGTATGAAAGATCCTTCTGAACCAGATCCATCGCTACCACCACCACTACCAGAAGCAGACGATTGTCTTCTCCCTTCTCAAACAGATTTTTTGCCACCTCCTCCTTTTCAAGCAGAAGATGTTCTTCCTCTGCCTTACCCTGAGTCAGGTAAAAGCCCTTTAAAGCACTAGGAAAATAAATCAAAGTGTCTCAAGCCCTTAATGAGTTGGCACATTAATGTCAGCTAGGAAGCATGGGAACAGTATCCAGTGCTCTTGGGAATGGGTTGGCTGGTATATAGTGCCTGAGTTCATAAATTACACCAAGTGATTTGATTGACTTATGTCTTAGGTTTTAGCATGACTTGGTATAAGGGCTCAATTACAGAACACCAAGCAGATGAGACAGTTGACTTGCTTATTTGTGAAGCAGGCACCCTGTTTGTTTGCAGAACTTGATTTTCCAACTTTTCCTCTACCACCATCCCTGGACATCTCCAACTGTGGTCTCCTGAAGCCTCCTCTTCTGCCACCTCCACCACCCCCAGAGAAATTGTTGTGGGCCCCAGACACCTATCTGGAGAAAGGTATCTTAGTAAAAATAAGAAAACTCCTGAAAACTGTCTCAGCTGTGCATGATTTCTAATTATACGCAGGACAAAGTCAAATCCACACATTAAACAAGAACTTCTCAGCTCAGCTGACAATGAGAACTCTTTATTATCTATAGTAAAGCTTGGAGAAGAGATAGGTAGGACTGTCTTCCATCTTAATTAGTATAAACAATTTGTTCCATCCAGCCTTTTTCAACAGTAGTTAATCTATACTCTTCTATCCCATTTGTCTCAGTGAATTTGGTTATAGCAATGAGTGGCATAAGGTGTAAACCTACTTGATTATATTTCCCGTCACCTGGCATTCTATCTCTTTAGCATCCCTGGGTTATCTTAAGGATGTAGCTAGTTGATCTTTTATTTGTTCCATTGACTCTGACTTAATTTCTCCTTGTTTTGTTTTCAGTTGTGACTCTTTACCCTTATGTTCAGAAGAAGGATGATGAACTCTCATTTACAGAAGGGGTCATTATTTACGTGACACGGAAATACTCAAATGGCTGGTGTGAAGGTGTAACAAGTGATGCAGAAGGATTGTTCCCAGGGAACTACACTGAACCTTTGCACTGAATGAGGCAGAATGGAAGAGAAAAAAAGACAGGACCCTGACCCAAGTTTTATGGAGAGCATGGAGTCATCTAGAATAGTCCCACAGGCTGCAAATAAATTTAACAAATAAATTTAACAAATAAGTTTAAGTTGCCAGGAAATCAGTATTTCCCTGACTTAAGTTAGGCTAAAATCAAGCTAGTGAAAGGAATGTGTTGAGAGTACTTTGGAAATTTCCTTAAATACATTGTAATATAAACACAGGATTTAGGTTCTTCTTCTTCTGCAGAGCTTCACAAAACCTACAATCTTGTTCAGCAGTTAATAAAGAGCCCATTAGGGCTAATTTATATCCTTACAAAAACAGTGGTTTCTTAGAATTCTGAGATCGGGCTTGCCCATGATTGATACATGTGATGAATAAATAAACGAATCCAGCAACAAACTTTCTACTATTGTAAAGAAAATAAATATGTTGTAAAATATTCTTGAAGGTTTTGTGTGGTTTTTTCAATATGCCAGCAGGTGGTGCTATTCTGTAGTTTAATTCCGTAGTAGCTACTGCCCCTCTCTGTCCATTCCTGAAATCTTATTTGCATCCCAAAATTATACCACTAGCAGCAAACAATTGAGCAGAGACAGCATGATCACCTATAGTTTTTGGGGGGAGGGAGGGGCAGTCAGAAAAGAAATAAAAGGTAAAATTATCTGAATTAACTCCTTATAGTTTTATGGATATAGTTATGGAGATTTTCTTGCAATCGCTGCCTTCCATGTCTTTTGACTTCCCCATACAGTTTAGAGCTGGTGATTTCCTACCAAAGGGCTTAGCCGGCTCAACCAAAGCACTGTCATCTGCTTTCAAAATAGGCATAAAGTTGAATACCAAGTATTCAACTTCGAATAGTTCACCAATGTTGCCAACCCTTCCAAGTCGCCACTTTCAGGATATTATCATCCTTCCTTTACCGGCGTTTTTTGCTTTCTTGTTTTTTTTTTTTTTTTAAATGTTTGCATTATATACTGGGAAATGTGTAGAATATTAGAATGGTGAGGTGAATGTGACTATAAAGCATTTCCTAATTTGTGACTGAGGAAGAACAAAAAAGGGAGGAAGCTTCAAACCCCCGTTTTGCCAATTGGAATTATATACCGGTAATTGATTTCTCCAAGAATTGTGTAGATTCTCTTGTTCAGGCACTACAAATGTTTGTCACAACAAATTATGGGAAGTTCCAACAGAGACATTTTTCTCTCTCTCCCCACTAAACCAGGCTCTGATTGGTCGCAGTCCAAATATTGTATACCACTTTAATTACACTCCACATGCATCCTGGTTTGCCATGGTAAGTGGTTATACACACCCTCAAATCTCTAACATGGACCCACCTTTTAATTCCCTTCATTTTGCCATAAGAGGAAATCACATCAAGAGAAAAAGAGCTGAGGGATAACTGAGAGGAACAACCACCTTCTCAGATCAAAGGAGAAAATAAAGCTCATTTATGAGGAAAAACAGCAGCTCACTGGTAGGACTGTAGGTGAAAGAAAAGAATCCCCATCACTAGAGATTGCACACATTCAAGACTCTAGAAACACAGGAATCATGAAATAGGTATTTGAATATACTTTATAAGCAATTTGTGTCAGCTGAGTATACAAAAGATAACTTAACATTTAAATATTTGCTAGGTATTTTTTGTGGTGTGTGTGTGTGTGTGTGTGTGTGTGTGTGTGTGTGTGTGTACGTGTATGTGTGTACTTATAAAAGAGTTGCCATGGCTTTAAATTCCAAAAATAACAAGCAGAGAGAAGTACAACACAAAATAATATGGGATATTTGCAGAGAATACAGACCAAGAGAGGATTACAGATCAACATTTTAAAAGAAGGGGAGACAGACTGCTGGTTTGGTTATGGAATCCGAGATGGCAAAAGCACATTTCAAGCCCAGGAGAAGTCCATGCTGGAGTTTTGGGGTACAACACCTTGGGAGAGAAAAGTCAAATGCTCAATTTTAATAAAGGGAAATTATTCTGGCAGCAATACATGTGTATCTACAGTAACAAATTCAGTGGAAACCTGTTTCAGTATTGCACAGAGAAATGGCATAATCTAGATGTCTCATGGTTGTGTAAACTGTTGAAATTTAGTGCATAACTGTTGTGTGTCTGTTGTGGCAGTGTTATGACTGTAGTTTGTCTGAATGAACATGTTCCACTGACTTCTCTTTCTAATCTTAGTCCCGTACCTCCGTAATGTCACTAATCTCATATTGATTGTATTCTTTTTTCCTGAGCAAAACATGAAATATAGAGTTTGGCATAGTTAGCATATTCACTCTTATAAAGCTCCCTGAATCATTTTTAGGCCATGATGCAGCACCATCATTCAGCTTGGACATCTTGTTAGCAAGCTGTGAATTATTTTCTTCAGAAGACCCATTTCTCTTTATCCCTCTGCCTCCAATTTATCAGGAAGTATATGGAGTATTATTTGAATAGAATGGAGAAAAGAAGTCCAAAGTTAGATCTGAAATTACAGGATAATTATGGATGAATGAGAAATGAATACAGTAATAGCAGATTTTTTCATTCTTGTAGTGTCCTACTTTCTACATTTCTAAAGTCAGCTGTCAGGAATTGTGATTATCCAGTTACTGCTAAATTATAACTGCAAACAACCTCAACTAACAAGCCGATTATAAGAAGGTGTAGCATAGCAACATCTGAAGGGCCTTGCTGTACATCGATTATCATCAGCAATAGTCATTTTTTAACATGTTCCCTACACCAGGGATCTCCAACCTTGGCAACTTTTCAATTTATCCCTACCCTGCACATCTAAAATACTTTGTTTTCTTGTTTCTATACGTCAAATAGGTAGCACCACATGCCTCATTTAGATAGCAGCTTCTTTGGGAGGAGCTGAAATGCTTCCTTGAGGCTCTTCTAGATCAGAATTTCCCAACCTTTTTAGCTTTGCTGAGTGGTGGGTGGGAGAGGGGGAGAGAAGAGTTCCATTTGCTCACTACTTCCGCATCCCGGTTCCAAAAGGCTCAAGGCCGGGCAGTGGGCTGGAGCCAAGGGTCAGGGACCTCTGTTCTAGGTGACAGACCAACATGCTACTGTGGCAAGAGTTTTCTCTTGTTTTCTCTCTTACAATTTGCTTGGCTAAAAGCTGCCCTGCCAATTTGGCACCTTATAAAGGACTTGGGACTGCAATGTCCGGCCCATATTTAGCTCTTGAAATCCCTAGTTATTGGCTATGTTAACTGAGAATTATGGAAGCCAAACATTTGGAGAGCAGAAGGTTGAGGAAGTATGGCCTAGGGCACTGATCTCAGCAATAAAATGAGCCCTTAAAGAACCCAGTATTTTGAGCTCAATTAGATCAGGGGTCTCCAACCACCGGTCCACGGACTGGTACCGGTCCGTGGAACAAGTCCTACTGGGCCGCTGGCTTGCTGGGCGCCGCCATCTTGTTTTGATGAAAAAGTGCTTCCGGTGAGCTTTTCTGGGTAGAAAGCTCACCGGAAGCACTTTTTCATCAAAACAAGATGGCGGCGCCC